CAGAAGCAGCTCTGCTTTTTGCTATCTTGTGCCTTACACAGGCTCTCTTGCAGAGGTTGTTGCTACATAGGTAGGAACAGGAGCTTTGTAAAGTTACTCAGATAAGTAATTGGTTGCCCAGTTTGGTGCCCTGATGAGCCCAGTCCAATGCTTGCATTAGAGCTTGGAAATTCAGAGCAGTTCCTGCACTGCACATGAGTTTTCTGGACATTGACCCAGTGATATTTTTATGTTTCTTAAAGATGATGACGACTTCCAGCCCTCTAATAAGAGACGAAAAAGGACCAAGTCAACTAATGAAGCTGGCAATACTGGGAGAAGAAAAGTGGGAAAGTTCAATTTTGGTAAGATAAAATTAAAGCATATTTTATCTCTCTGCTTGATTTTGTGAAAAGGTGTATTATGCTGCAGGAGCGAGACACACCAGTGCAGGCATTCATCTAAGAGCCCAGGGCTCTTTGTAGATGTATTGCAGGAGTATAATCATCATCATAGGCTACCTCTGTTGTTTTTTGTTATTCAAAGTGAGCACCTAAATGGAGACACTGGAAGTTGGAATCTTCTTGGTGGTGTGGTGTTCTTTCATGATGCCTTCTCTAGAGTTCTCCACAGAAATGCATCCACACGCTGTGGTTACTCTGGTCAAAGATGCTTCCCCTGGGATTTTTTGGAAGTCCTTTACCTCTCCTTTATTCCTGGGTTTGTTTTGGTTTCTGGACACATAGCCCATTCATCTGTGTACTTTATAAGGTTGTATGCTGTCTGGCATATGTCCTTTGGCACAAAGTTTGAGATGTTTCTTAGTAACTCGGGAATTTGAGTTGAATTGAAAAGTTCTCTTGGAACCCCTTCTGACATCTGCTTTGCGTGAAACATGTATTTAATGCTTATTTCAGCAAAACTACTATAGCATTGTGAGCTGTCATCTTTTAACGTCATTACTGTTAATAGCCACTTCCATATTTAACATTTTTTTAGGTGGGTCTTCAGAACATAACATCAGCATTGGTGAGTGCAATACTGAGCACTTACTGTTGCACAAGCTTTCCCTATATATATATATTCTCCCAGCAGAAAACAGCTTTTAAGCTTTGCATTCCAACAGTTTTTGAAAAAAAGTAAAGAATTATGTTTATTGGGGATGTAGTCCAAAGGTAATTAACTATTAGGTTGATAAAAATTTTAGTTGAAACAACAGTTTAAGAGCATCTCAGAGCTTTCCTGTTCACTATTATTCTGAGTTGACTTAGTAGATTATTGCTTTGGGCTGTTCTCAAGAAAATTTTGTTCTAAACCATGCACTGTGCACTTAGATTACAGGGATTTGCAGGTCACAGGTTATTCAGCCATCTTTACTCCTGGATTTCCTAAACTGTATTGGCGATATTGCCCCTCATGTTCACTTTAAGGTTCTGTCATGGTTTTGCCCAGCCAGCCAGCCCCTGGGGCTGAGGATGGTTTTGTCTAGGTGGATTTCCAGACAAGAAGCCAATTAAAACTCTCAGTGACGCCTTTGTTAATTACATATTTAAGAAAACGGAAGAGAAGGTTTGTAGCGCAGTTGAAATTAGAAGCGGCAGCCATGTAGGAGAGGCAGCAAGCCCCAGGTAGGGGTAGGCAATCTTCTCCCCTGGCTTGGGCCAGGGGCAGGTGTGGCACTGAAACCCCCCTTCTCTCTTGTAAGAAAGTGAAGAAAAAAAAAACTTTAGAGAAGGACTGACTGCTTGGACGAGAAACGCTGCAGAAGAAATTCCAGCAGATAACAAAGTGTCCAAAGTTGAAGCTGGCAGCCGGAGGAGAGAGAAGAAAAGTGCGAGGGGGGGGACCTGTTTCTCTCCCCTTTCGCCCTCTCCCTTCAGCAGGGAAGAGACTGAAAAATAAATCCCTGCCACCTATGGAAGTTTGTTTGGGTGAGGAGATCCCCGTGCTGCTCATGGAAGAGCCTACACTGGAGTAAGTTGATGCATGAAGAAGCCGAGACTTTATGAGAGACCTGAGGTGAAACAGAGTCCTGTTGAAGATTTGTGACCCTGAGAGAACTTACACCGGAGCAGAAAACGGCTCGGGTAAGGATGTTGGGATCCAAGTGAGGGATCCATGCTAGACCCATGCTGGAGAGGTCTATCAAGGACTCTTCCCATGGGAAGAGACCTCCATAGGAAACAGGAGTGGACTCATAAGCCATTATGCCTTGTAACCCTGTGGTGAAGATCCATGGTGAGCAAGTGTCCCCTTGCAAGCCCATGGAAGAAAAAACCTTCAGGGCCTGGGTAACCCCCAGCCTCCAGTCTTATCCCAGAAGAGGGGTAGGCCCAGCCCTGAAGGCCAACACAGAGTAAGAGAAAAAAAAAAAAGAGTTCCAGCTGTGACGAGAGTGCTGCAGAGTTATTGAAGAGACCTGAAGCTCTGAGAATGGAGAAAGAAACTGCTTTTCCTCCTTGGACTGATATAAAGGGGGGAGAAGTATTTCTGTAGAAACATAGCACTTTTACTTAAGTGGAATTGTTATAGATGTAGTTCTTTAGTAGTTTTTATTTTGCTAGTAATAAGTGTTCATACTATTTTCCCCAAATCCAGTCTCTTTTGTCTGCATAAACCTTCTCTCAACTAATAGTAATTGTGTGGAGGGTGTGAGAGCAAATTGACCCAAAGCAAAACCATGACAGGTTCACCTACAGAAAGTGGCATTTCTCTGTAGTGTTTCAAGGTCTGTTTAAAACACAAAATGAATATGAAAAGCTTTGGAGAAAGATACTTCCTTTGCTCTAATGAAAAAAATAGCAACTGTTGGCAGTTTCAGTGCTGCTGTTTGGATATTTTAGAAGACTTTGCACATTTGATAACCAAGTCTAATATTAGCTAATTGGACAGGAGAAAGGAGATGGTTAATTCTATCATGAGAAGCTGCAGAATGACAAAGTCACATGCACTTATCTGTCTCATCTGATAAGGACTTTCAGTATTTTACATGACAGCAATGAGATTTTTTGGTTGGAGGGACTTCCTCAATGTCTTGATATTTGATAAGGTAGTCCAAGTGGCCTGAGAAGCAGGGTGAATAATGAGCTGTGCTCTTAGTTTTGTGGAAACGGGAAAACAATGTGTAAAACAAAATAATTGTAACAATGTCTATTAAAATGTTTGATAGAATTTGATAATCTTTGGGAAGGGAGGTTGGATTTCAAAAAAAATGTGAACCAGCTGTTTGAGGTTAAAAATATCATTGCTGAAAGGAATTGACATTGTCAGTAAAAATCACTTCCAATGTTATTAAGAGATTTTTTTATAAGGTCAGAAGCTTCAAGTTGCGTCTTGCGGTTGTGTTAAACCATTTTAGTGGGGAATAAAGTCCCCCTAGCTGTTGTCTGACTGTGACAGTGATGGGAAGTGTGTATGGTTTTTTCCCATTTTAACACACTGTTGAGCACAGGTTTTATCAGCTTGCAGCATGCTTAAGAGTTGCTCTGTGTTTTTTATGCTGAGTTGTGTGTTTTCTTTTTTATTTCCCCATGGAGTACTCTATGGCATGGATATGGGAATAACAGTGTGCCTGTTAGCTGCCTACGTACACTGTGCAGGTTTCCTCAGCTGTAGTGGATGTTATCTGAAACATATCCAAAGGAGCAGAGAATGGAATATCCATGAAAGTACACTAAAAAAAAAAAATTAAATATGGACATCAAAGCTGTGTACATTGGTCTGAGAGTGAATATTTAAGTCCCTTTTGATACAGACTGTCTTGTCTAAGTATTTTTTGACAATCAGAAGTGTAATAGCTTGAATGGCCTCATTTTTTGACCTCTGTAGTTACTAGATTGAAGTCTTTGGAGTAAGAAATAAGCTGTAAGTATACTTGCTTAACTCTTTCTTAAAAGGCCAGATGACATCTGGCAACATCTGCAAAAGAGTTGTGGGATTTTCCTTAAAGCATTGAGATAGTACAAAAAAGCAGTGAAAACGTGTGCTCTGTCACAGGCAGGAAATTAGGTGTTAAAATTCTGCTATTTAATCCAGTTGTCCATGTAACACAGGATTGGATTTGGATAACTTCTGTCTTGCAGCCTGTATCTTCTTTCAAAAGTAGGATTTATGGTGATGTTTTGCAACACCAGGACTTGGAGAAATTCTGGGTTAGGGTACAGGATGGCACAATGCCTCCTGACCCAGATAGTTACACAGATTTGAACCAAAACACCTCTATATACTCACTGTGCTTTGTCAAGCTTTTCAGCACACAGATTTAGGTAACTATCAACAATGGCTACAAACTGCCTTTACGTCTGATGGCTGTGAGAGCTGCTGACTGATCCGTCGAGGAGAAACCACTTTTGGAAGTTACTTTAGCCTGGTTTGTGCTGTGGTTTTTTTAACTTGATTTAATATACAAGTCTGGGAGGTAATCTTAAAAAACTTATTCTGTACTTTTTTTTTCCCGGAATGTATCCATGTATTTTAAAGTATAGCCTCTACTGTACTCTGCAGTCACCTGTTTGCAGGTGAGCAGTAAAAGCACACTGCATATGTCAGTTAGTGGAAACACAGATTTTACAAGAGATCCTCAGTTTTGTTTGTAGTCTGACATGTCCTTCTCTTTGCAGAGAAATGGAATGCACGAATTACAGACTTGAGAAGGCAAGTTGAAGAGCTATTTGAAAAGAAATACGGTATGTGTTACACACCATTCCAAACCATTGCCTCTAGTTCATTGTTGCTGTGATAGCCCTTTGGTTTGCATCTTGTTGGCTCAGGAGTACACCTGAACTGACAGCACCAAAGGGTTAAATACTGTTAGAAGATGTAAAACTGGGGAAAGTAGCCTTTTTTTTTTATTAACAGTTTCAAAATGGAGTCTCTCCATTTGGCACCAAAGCGCAAAACTTGATATTAGTTTTGTTATTTCCTGGAACTCCAGCATGCTCATGTTTAGGCACCCACATTTGAGAGAGCTGTCCTTTTTTCTGTAATTACACTGAGTTCTTACATGACAGAATCTTGTTAGATGGCTCTAGGGAGAGGTTGCCACTCATTGATTGTTCCTGTTTGATTATGATTGATTTGCAGTGAAGCAAAAATTATATGTTAATGGCTCTTGGAAAGAAAAGGCATCAGACGTGTTAGACCTTGGGATTTGTTTCCAGATGCTGTATCTAGATATATTTTGTGTCCCAGTATCACAGACTAAAACAGCATCAGCAAAGATTTCAAAATAAATGGTGGTGCTCAATTACCACAAAAGGTGGAAGTGCTTTCAGAATGGACCTTGTGATTTGGAATTATTACATGTTTCAAGTGTGGCTATCATCTGACATTTAAACAGCCCACTGAAAGCAACTCACACCAAGTTAAAACAGTCTCATTCACTGTATTTTAATTGCTCTAAAAAGGAGCATCACTCTTAGTGAATTTTTTTTTTTTTGATTTTGGTGTTTGCACATAGCCAGCCTAAAAATTGCCTGTGGAATACTGAGCTATTCTTGACTTTCCATAGCAGAGCATATGGTATTAAATTACCCCCTTGTCCCTGTGGATGACAATATTGCTTTGATTCACAAACCAATTCCTTATCAGACTCTAGGTCTTTCTGTCTGTATGGGCATGCGATCTCCCATTTACTGAAATGAGTTACGAATGTCCAGAATTCCCAGAATGCTCTTCAAATTTGTTGGCTATTGTAGCTCCAAAGTGTTTTAGCAATGTCAGTCGCTGTAATCCATTATAACTGATGTGTCTGAAAATATAGTTTAGTGTCTAGATGAAAACTAAATGGGTTTACTTGTTAGTGACTTACATATACAGACTAATTTATAAAAATGAAGGCTGTATTCAGTGGAATTTCTATGCAAAAACATGTAAGATTCCAAATCTAAGAAACCCCACTGCAGAATGTGATGCTGCTGGTGTTCTTAGGCTCTATGAAGTGTCTTGGCTAAAAAATTTGCTGATTTAAGAGAAATAGAGGCTCTAACTTGTAAAAACTAACCTGTTATTAGTTATTTATTTGAACAGAGAGGATTTCTGTTCCTATGAAGCTTTTCTTAGTTGATAACTTGTTAGTGATCTGGATTTTAGTGATGTTTATCTGTTACCCTGAGGCTTGTCTGCTGGATTTGATGCCCAGAAAAAGCAGATAAAAAAACTGTTTAGACAGAGTTTTATGTCTAAGCAGCAGGTATTGATTGATTAACGGCCGGGCAGCCTGCCAGCTAGTGCTGGGAAAACAGGCTCCGAGTTGGTTAGGTTAGAGTGAGTATTTTATACAGGTTTGGCAATGATTACAACATAATTGCATACATATTCATATTATTGCATCATTACAATATTCATAACAGGTGGAGTTAGAGGCGGAGATGGAGGCGTGGTCTCTATTTTGAGGAATATTATGGTGGGAGATCCTGTTTGCCTTCATCCTGGGGGTTGCTTTTTTAATCCTCATCCTCACCTGACCTCGGGGACCTTTCGTTCTTTCTATTGTTTCTATGTTCTGATCACTGAGGCTTCAAGAAAGTCTTGGATCTGGGCCTATTTCACCTATTGAGATGTCACCTTGGGTCCTCTGGATGAGATTTATGGGCGCTGGGTTCTTTGCCCAGTGTTTATTGTGGTTCCTTTAAGGTCTGATGCCCTCAGCACAGGACA